CGGATTAGAGCTCCCGATCAGAACAGATGATGTCAATTATAGATACATGAGGAAAGAAATCTGCTGCCATCTAGTGGCTACAGGTTCCTATATCGCTTTGGCGAAATGACCACACCAACCAGCAGGGGGCCCCCGAGCGCGCACGGAAATGTCAAAATCGGACACACACACACACACACACACACACATACATATACACTGATCATATATACATATACATATATATATACATATAATATATATTATATATATATATATATATATAATATATTAATAATATATATATATATATATAGCTGAACAGAAAAAAAGAAAAAAACGGAGTAGAAAGTAGCAGCAGGATAAAGGTGTGTTCATTGCATCTCAGTTATTCATCGTTAATAGTCACTAACAATGACGTGGTTAAACAGAAGCGTCATATCAGTCGTGGCCAACTTATGGGATAAGTAAGGTGTGGTATGGAAACAACAAGCATTTTGGATTGGTAACCTACTGCTAGCTGTATAGCCGGTTAGTTTCTTTTTAATACATTTAATGCTGCCTGTCTTTTGTGTGTGTGTGTGTGTGTGTGTGTGTGTGTGTGTGTGTGTGTGTGTGTGTATCCCTCTACTGCATAGCGTTGCCCTGAGGCAACAAACCACATTTTCATGCCTCACACTGGCCCTTCAAAAAAAAAAAAAAAACTTAAATAATGCTACCAGGCACATCTCCTTCCAATAAAATGATGAGTTGAAGGTGGTGTGACTTTCATTTGGGGGGGAGGGAGGACCCCTTTCCACAAGCTGCACTACATGAGAGACATCTCCATTAGGAGGCAAGATAAAGATCACTATTTTACATGTTTATAGTGAAATAATATTGTATATTAAAAAATACTTGTATGTGCATGAATACGTTAAGAAGCATATTAGAAGCAAATTTATTTATGCAGTAAATTTTCATTTTCATTCATTGCCTCAAGGCAACACTGCGCAGTTAGCCCCGTTTTTTTCAGGCAATATAATGCATTAGCATGTGTGTAGAGATGTGTTTGTGTGTATTTATATGATCATAGTCAATGTTTTTTACTTTACAATCTGCTCATAATTACAGGACATGGATGTAAATACCTTTTATGGAAGGAAACCAAGGGAATGTGTACTTTCTGTCCTCAGAAAGTGAGCTTTCAGGAAGTGACAGTGAAGTAGAGGAGTGGATCCTTGAATGAGGTTTGAAGGACACTTGGGAGCTCAGGGGTCAGTTGGTAAAGTAACTGTGTCTGTGTGTGTTAGTGCCCACATAGCAAGCAGGTCTGGCCAGGATCTGGTATCAAGTCGGCACTGCTGGCTGACTTCTGGCATGATAAGACGTATGTCATCCAGATATGGGCCAGGCCTGGCATAGATGGCACTGTCTATGTGATGGCTTGCCATAATTGGCTTGATTGTGGCTTGGTTTATGTGGCCCAGGCCTACAGAAAACAGGTCTGGCCCAGATCTGGCATCAAGCTGGCACTTCTGACTGACTGGTGTTTTGGCAGAGTGTATGTCAACCAGATGTGTGCTTGGTCTGGCAATGATGCCACCGTTTATGCGATGGCATGCCATATCTCAGGTGGTAGAGCAGGTTACAAACTGATCGGAAGGTTAGTGGTTTGATCCCTGGCTCCTCCAGTCTGCATGTCAAGAATGTGAATGTGTATGAATGTAGTTAGGAAGCACTCAGTTAAGCTAAAGTGGATGAATGTGGCATGTTGTATAGAGCACTTTGAGTATTTTGGGAGAGTAGAAAAGCGCTATATAAAAATCAATCCATTCACTGTCTGAACAGAGTTTCCTCATGTTACTTTTGCACTGTTTTGCATGTTCTGGCACATGTTGTTATTGCATAGCTTGATTAAGGTACACATTAGGCTGACATTTGGGGCCAGAGCTGAAACTGTTCTGGGCCAGCACAGGGCCAGCAGTTTGTCTACAACTGGCCCGTGGCTGCACATCCCCTACAGATGGCCCACATACCGCAATGAATGACGGCCCTTTGGTGTCCCAGATCAGGTTTGCCAGAGTTAATCCAAACATAGGCCAGCACAGGGCCACCAGTGTGTCTGAAACTGGCCTTGTGCTGGCCCATGTGTGGGCCACCTCTGGCAAACCAGGTCTGGGCCACCAAAGGGCCGTCATTCTTTGCGGTATGTGGGCCATGTGTAAGCACATTGTGTGGGCCAGATCCGTGCCATACCAATTTTGCTGTGTGTGTGTGTGTGTGTGCGTGTGTGTGTGTGTGTGTGTGTGTGTGTGTGCTGTGTGTGTGTGTGTCTGTGTGTGTGTGTGTGTGTGGTCATGTATTACTTATTGTTGTGGGGACACAAATTTGTTTACACACTCACATTGTGAGGTCTCGCCTACTTTATGGGGACAAATTGCAAGGTAAATCATTCAATTTTAGGGTGAAGGCTTGAGTTAGGGTTAGGTTCAGGCAGGGACTTGTGATGGGTAAATCTCGTCTCCAGGAAATGAATGTAAGTTAATGTAATGTCCCCAAAAGTGATGGAAACACAACGTGTGTGCTGTGCGTGCATGGGGTTAGGGTCAAATGTTGGATGTATTTTGGTGTTTTATTGTTCTGTGAAATGTTTACATTGTTTATTTGTTGTTTATTTATTTGTTCATCCTTGTTGTACTAATACAACTTATTATAGAATAACTTGGCATTTTACTACCCTTGTCGCACAGTGTTGCCTTGAAGCAACAAACCAATATCTGTTTGGGGGGGGCAGGGTGTCAAATTTTATGATTGATATATTATTAGGGACCCTAAAGCTCCCCCAAAATAGGGAGAAATATTTTTTCCCCAAAAATTAAAAAGTCATGCAGTAGAGGGATATGGTAGTATTACTTCCATTAGCCAACATCCTAAGTCAAGAAGAGTGAGGAGTCAGGGCTCCACTTTAGTCCTGATGCAGATGGAGTTAAAATGCTAACACTCCTGATAAAAGATCATTAAATCTTTCATTTGGTTGCCATACATACTTTGAATGCAGTTTCCAGTCTACACAGTAATGAGAGTTTAGGTCACAGGAGCATCTGAATACAGATAGTTGCTTAAATACCATTACAACAATATTAGCTAAGTGGATTTATTATTGTTAATGACCAGCTATAAAGCCGTGCATAATTACCCAGTGCATAGTAAATCTAACAGCATCTGGTTTTGTAATGATGAGAATCTGGCTTCAGATTGTTTTTAATTTACATTTGCAGCACTGCATGGATTTAAGGGAGTCACACTCTGTGACTAGAGGTCATCTGCATTTACGCATTTCATGCCGATGGCTTTCTGTTGTACATTTCCCACCTAGTATGGGATGATGCAGCTACAGACAGGACCAGCAGATTATTCATGTGCTTTAAATTATATACACTTGAGAGAGCAAATACATCCTGCTGCAGTTCAGCCACAGCAGAACAGGAGAGACGTGCCCTGGATGCATAAGGTGTGTGAGACTGGGTGGCATTTGAAGCCTACAAAAGACTTCTTTTAATCAAAGTGTTTTTTTTTAAGTGCAGTAACTTCACAGTGACTCATTCAAGCAGATAGGGCAGCATACACATCAAATGTTTGTTGTTGTTGTTGTTGTTGTTGTTGTTGTTGTTGTTGTTGTTGTTGTTGTTGTTGTTAAACACATTATAGATAAGGCTCCTTTCAATTTAGGACCCTCTGATCAGACTGAGCGGAGTTTGTGCTCGTGCATCCTGTGTTAATATTTTACGGGATGGATATGTTGATCATATCTAAAAAGATTCTGTGTCAGAGGCCAATAGGCAGATATGTGGAAGTGGACCCAAAAGCAGACTGAAAAGACAACTGACTAGCAGTTAACAGTGCTTTATTGAACACAGGGAAACTGCTGCAGGTGAGTTGAGGAAAATGTAGCATGAGTCTCTGACGTGAAATGCAGGTGAAGTGAAATGAGCTCCGTGGAGGGAGGGAGTGTCCCAGCTGAGAAGCGGGATGAGAGAGGTGGTTGATCCAATCCTTTATTTCCAGTAATTCACAAGGACAGGCAGGTGAGGTGGACGCTGCCGTAGCGTGTAGACTGAGTGATGGCAGATAGCCAGCAATGATTGTGCAGCCACAGTAGTGGCAGAGGATGTGCAAAGCGAGCTGCAGGTGAGTTGAGTATTGTTCCAGGAACGGCAAAACTAAACATAGGCGTAGCTGACAGACAGGCAATGAGTGGAAGGCTGAGCTGGTCTTAAATTAGCCAGTCTGCTGATTGCCACTGATGGACCACAGGTGTAGAAATGAACCTCCACCCCAATGTGTGGATGCTGGAACCAGCATGGCAAAACAAAACAAAACAGCAGAAACTCACTTGGATCATGAAACTGAGGGAGTGGGGGTCAATGGCACAATCACAGGGCCTGTGGGGAGGAGGAGACACAGCTTTATCTTTACTTCCTGTAGGTTATGGTACTCCTTCAGAGCAGAGGATAGCACCGATGGTTGGTTGGCAGGTGGCAATGAGTCAAAGGAACCGGTAGGTAGGGCCGATTGTAAGCAATCTGCCAAACAGACTCCAAAAAGCTACTTTATTGCCGGCCCAATCAATGATAATTTTTCTTTTCCAACCATGAATAGCCGAGGATCAAAGAGGTGTCGGGTGAAGCGAATCTGAATAATGAAATGGATTCCCAATGATTTCCGGAGGAGAATAATAATGGATTGGATTTATATAGCGCTTTTCTAGGCACCCAAAGCGCTTTACAATACCACTATTCATTCACTCTCACATTCATACACTGGTGGAGGCAAGCTACAGTTGTAGCCACAGCTGCTGTGGGGCAGACTGACAGAAGCGAGGCTGCCATATTGCGCCATCGGCCCCTCTGGCCAACATCAGTAGGCAAGTAGGGTAAAGTGTCTTGCCCAAGGACACAACGACCAGGACAGAGAGCCCAGGGATCGAACCAGCGACCTTCCGGTTACAGATGCGATTCCCAACCCCCTGAGCCATGGTCGCCCTTAAATAAACAAATGGGCTTGGTTTGGTGTGAATGTGAGCAAAAACTTGGCTGTTTAGTGCAGTGGCTGGTAGGGGGGGATGAGTGGGAGGTCCAACTGCTTGACTAACTCAAGATCGATGAGGTTTTGTTCAGCACCAGAATCTATAAGAGTATGGAGGGAACTGGAGACCTGGTTGAAGCGAAGGGTGACTGGTAGCGGGAGACAGAGTTTGGAAGTAATCGACGAGCCTTCCACCTGTATCCCTGAAATTACGGGGGTGGGTAATTTTTTGGCCGAAGAAGGAATGCAGCAAGAAAATGATCTGGATTCCCATAATAGAAACATTCACGGGCATAAAAGCACCTCTCTCTTTCCTCCTAAGTGAGCAAAGATCGCCCGATCTGCATAGGTTTGGGTGGAGGATAAGGAGGAGAGAGAGGTGGATGGTGGAGCTTATGGTGGATGTTTTTTCCAGAGATGGCAAAATGGACACAGGGAAGGATTGGAACATTGTTTTATGAGATTAATGGTCTTGTTCAGCCTCTCTCCCTCAGATGATTATCAATCGAGAGAGAGAAAGAGAGACTAAATCCTCAAACGAACCAGGCTTGTCCAGTGATGCCAGTTGATGATTCATTTGATCGTATAAGGCGTGCAAAGGGCTCCTGTGCAAAAATCGACAACAAATTTGGCCACACTACGCTTAGCTCGACACAGATTTATTAATTTCTTCCCTCAGAGGCTGAATGAGCAAAAGTTTTCTTTAGCTCTTGAAGGCTGGAGGCTGGTGAGCAGCAGGTGTGACCTCAGAACAGAGCTCCTGAACTGCAGAAAGAATCTCCCCCTCCTTGTCATGGGTTTACATCACAGAAACTGGAGGCCCACTCGGGCCAACCGATAATGGCAACTTGTTTGGATATTGTGGTCAGAATTAGATCTGCTGGGTTGATTCTTTTAGGCCATTCTGTACTGTCAGTGGACAGAAGGCCAATACGTCGGAGTGGACCCAAAAACAGACCCTAGAGACAACTGACGAGCAGTTGACAGTGCTTTATTGAACACAGGGAAACAAAACTGGAAACAAGGAAAATGTAATGTGAGTCTCTGACGTGTGGACCACTGGCTAAAAGTGAGTTAGGAGCAATGGCTTACTTTTCAGCTGAAGGGAGATTAACTCTGTGAAGGGAGGGAGTGTCCTGGCTGCGAAGCGGGATGAGAGAGGTGGTTGATCCAATCCTTATTTCCAGTGATTGACAATGACAGGCAGGTGACGTGGATGCGGCTGTAGCGTGTAGCCGGAGAGGATGAGTGATGGCAGATAGCCAACGATGATTGTGCAGCCACAGTAGTGGCAGAGGACGTGCAAAGCGAGCTGCAGGTGAGTTGAGTATTGTTTCACGAACGGCAAAACTAAACATAGGAGTAGCTGACAGGCAGCCAACACACACCAAAACAGCAGACACTTACTCGGATTATGACACCCAGAGGTCTTTCAGTGTTAATTGAGTTGTCACATTTACTTCAAGCAGAACCAAAATACAGAGCAACTAGAAAGTCCCACCACAAGGTTTCAAGTACAGCTTGTTTTTCACCAACTCCAGCCTTAGGCGTTTAACATGTACATAGTCAATAAATCCGGAGTTAAAACAAAGAATCCCAAAGTGCAGACCCTCTCCTTAGGTGAAGGTCTGCATGTGGCATGTATAAGATTAGTGACTGTTTACCTGGCAAAGGTCATCAGGCCCGTTTCAGCATTCCAGTCCTGCAGTTTGTGGTCGAAGTTCATCTTTGTGTTTGGATATGTCTCTGCCGCTGTGAGGGAAAAATGTTACAAAAACTGTTTTTTTAGCACTGATGCAAGCATGACACAACAGCATCAGTTTAATATGACCACTCTATACTTCATTAAAACAATCAGGAAACGTTCAGCCACTGAGGGAATACGGCCTCATGGCAATTAGGACGAATCTCATGAACAACACAGCACAGCTGACAGTGGTTTTATGAAAACCTATGTTTAGGCTGTCACACTTTCCAAAATCTCTTTATCTCGGCGTTCGCTCCAGAAGCCTGGATGGACCCTGATAAGAGTACGGCTTTGTAATCAGCCTCTCTTTCAGCACGAGCAGGCAATCTAATTAAATGTAGGCCCATGCTGTCGCACATTATCTCTAAACGTACACTGAGGCTCTTCATTAAATATTAGGCAAAATCCTTTTTAGCTGAAACACTAACATATCCTCTGACGTCACGTGACGCACTCAGCCGGTTCGAAGGCGTGCATAAAGCTACTGCACAGCGGGCATCTGCGGTGGTCGAGGCTCAGCTCAATAACAATCAAACAAAATTAGGACAACTGCTGAAAGAGAGTATCCTTTAACATGAACGAATCCACTTGTTTATTTCTGCATCACTTTTCATCATCAAAGCTCATTAGCCAGCACAAAGCACTTAATGACAAGACATAAAGTTGGGACTCTTGTTAAATGCTGATTAATTCATGTGCTCTACTTTAAGTTTGATCTGAAATTTTTGTGTCTTTTGGGATTTGCAGGTCAGGTGTGGCAAAGATGTCATTGTAACATTTATTTCTTATTTCAGTGCCTCATTTTACATCGTGGGTTGCATGCAGCCCACTTTGATCTTAAGTGGGGTGGACCGGTGAAACACGCCTTTCTGTCATTGTAGAAAAGATTAAGTACACATTAAATCCCTGAGATGCATAAATACATGATGAAAAAGTGCTGCTGTAATAACTGAAAAATGTGTCAGTATGACTGGGCTTAAATTCAGAAAGAATGTCCCTTTTTTTCCTCCAGTAATTTATTTTCATTTAATTATTTATCAATTAATCACTTTGACGTTGTGTTAATAGCTACAAGGGAGCAATTGATCATGAGGAACGGCTGTAAAACTTATGAATGCTATTAAAAGTCCAAAGTTTGTCCCATCCAAGTCATCCAGTCGACTGGATTGGAGTCTTTTGTGGTGTCGATTCTGGCCCTCGGGCCTTATGTTTGACACCCGTGTATTATTTGAACCCCAACAAGTTAAACTGCCCATATAGGCTGTATGTCGGAAAGAAGGAAAACCTATGCCAAAAAAAAAATCCCATTTTGACTCATTTCCTTGTAACAAAGACTCAGCATTTGGCTGATAAAAATTCCATTTTGGTGTGACAGTTGCTTGGTAATGTCATCTCACTTCCAGAGACACTATTTATGTTCTTACCTGTTAGCAGCTCTTTGTTCAAATTGGCTCGGTCTACCGACAGGATGTACTGAAAGGAGAACAATCTGTAATGTAGTGCAATTGTACAGGTACAGCTTATCAACTCTGCTCATTTTCATATGGAAACAGGAAGTCTCTAGGGTTTAGAATGCCTGCCTCTGCTTTCACTATCTTCACTGTATAATTTTGTTTTTTTCCCCAACCACGAGGTGAAGAATCCTCGCCATACTGTCAGCACCCTAATCGAACAACAGCTTCCAAACACCCTAAAAGTCTGCAGTCTGTAAAGGCAAACAAACTCTATACTGTCGTGTGACAAAAACTCAAGTCTCAAGTCTCAAGTCTCACTGCACAGCCTGTCACTTGTAGTTGTCATCCTTTGGTGAATTCTTGTGTTACCGCAGCAATTTCCTAATGTTGTAAACCTGCTCAACATTTGGCAATAAAACCCTTTCTGATTCTGATTCTGATTCTGATTACTTCACCAAACAACTACCAGTGTGTGTGTGTGTGGGGGGGGGGTGTACGCGTTTTAACACAGGCGAGATTTAGCAAGCAAAGTAAATTATTCATCTGCAGGCTGTATCTGTACACATGAGGCAATTCTTACAGTATGTTTAGCAAAAAACAGACTATTATGTAACATTATTTTTCAGCAAACTAATGATAGAAAATGGATGTGCAGTCAGTTAAACAGCCCTCAAAAAGAAACAGTGATGAGCAGCATAACATATAAGTAACATATTTTCTGCTCATTAATCAGTCTTCACAGTGTAATCTGGTTCATTTAGACTTTTTGGTTTTGTGTAAGTGTGAGACATCACAGAATTAGAAAATTCTGTACTTATCTGACAGCAGTCATGCACTTGGTAAGGCTTACCTGGCCTTTCCTGCCATAAGGGATTGGGGACTGTTTCCCATTCAGCGAATGGATCATTCTTGCATGCATCGGGATTCCTTGGGCAACAATCTAAGAAAGAAAAAAATTGCAGAACATCTTAAATGTTAAAACTGGACCATTGGGGATAAATAACGGCAGAAATTTCTGCACAAAAGTTAAACAAGGGCAATCTATGGACAGCCAGCTTGTGACTCAGTGTCTGCCCTTTATAGTATATGTGAAAATGTGGCGGAGCGGGCCTTATTCTGTCAACCTGAAAAGTCATGCATGTGTAAAAATAAGGGACTGATGCAGAGTTCGCTCATGACGTGATCAGCACAGCAAATTTGGAGCACCAAAAAAAGGGTCAGTGACCTTAGATGCTATTATAAAGCATCCTGAGTGGACTCAAGCAAAAAAAAAGAAAGAAAAATAGGAGAGTGGGAGATTTCCCGGGGAATGGCTTCATGCTATTTTGTTGCTAGAAATCAAAAGGAGGTTTGCCTCCATGCACTTTGGTCTTTCATTTGGGCCAATAAACAAGTGGGAGTTGCGGCAGGGTGTCACCAAGCCCCCCTCCTGTAAACTTTGCCTTACCTCTGCTTTACTACTTAAACAGTGAATTAATCGGCATACCTTCTCCTCCAGTCCAATATGTTTCAGTGCTTGCCGGCCTCGATGAGACAAGGCCAGGTTGATGCTTCTCCCCTTCACAATCTTAGCACGTCGGATATCTGACCAGAGACCACATGCACAGGTTTTACACGTTCGTGTAATGTTCTTTAGTGTGTGGGTATATTTGTCAGAGAGTAGTGTGTGATGATAGCAATTACAGAGAAAACCAAAGTTTAAAGGAAAAAAATGCTTTGACTGCTACCTTCCCGACTTTCAAAGAGTTCCACATCAAAGCCTCTTTTTGCAAAGAAGCAGGCATTCAGTGCCCCAACCTAAAGGATAGATTGTAGAAACTTTGTGCAATCCCATTCTGCATGGTCTTGTATACATAATTATCTTATGGTCAAACAAGTAACAATATTAATATGTAAGCTGCATATACCCACTGCTAAACAATCTTTCCCCTTAAATGAAGCCTTTAAAATGCAAATACACTTTCTAAAGTGTGAAAGTCAAAGGCCACACGGCGTGAAAAAAAAGCACATTAATAATACTTCACTTTGAGTTTCTTGTCTTACCAAACCACCTCCCACCACTGCTACAACTTTCTTCCTGCTCTGTCTGCTTGTTGATCTCTCCATTGTGCTCAGGGTGCTCCAGCTCTCTGACCCACACGGTGTCCAGTCCAAAGGGACTGACGGGATAGCTGAGTTAAGATTTAAAAGAGGAGGAGCGTTTTACTTTCATAATCAGTTCCCCTTTTGAAAGCAAATACGTGCAACGGATAACAGGATTGTCCAAACAGTGTTGGGCATCTCTGCTGACACAAAGCATCTGATGTCCCTCGGTTAAACTTATGCATGAGTTGCATAAGTTTAACTTTATGACAATTTCTACCTTATTGCGCAATATTAATCCTGAAAGTGAAAACATTCACCTTCCTCACGTCCAAAAGCCCCTTAGACTAGACTTTGCAGATTTTCCTGAGTTCAGAGAGTTCATTCGTAATAGGATTGACCACAAATTCACAACAGACATATGTTTTTGGGGAGGACGTTACCTGAATCTTTAACGGAAAAGGTGCCTAGTGTCACGGATTAGAGCTCCCGATCAGAACAGATGATGTCAATTATAGATACATGAGGAAAGAAATCTGCTGCCATCTAGTGGCTACAGGTTCCTATATCGCTTTGGCGAAATGACCACACCAACCAGCAGGGGGCCCCCGAGCGCGCACGGAAATGTCAAAATCGGACACACACACACACACACACACACACATACATATAACACACATTCTACATATATATATACATATAATATATATATATATATATATATATATATAATATATTAATAATATATATATATATATATAGCTGAACAGAAAAAAAGAAAAAAACGGAGTAGAAAGTAGCAGCAGGATAAAGGTGTGTTCATTGCATCTCAGTTATTCATCGTTAATAGTCACTAACAATGACGTGGTTAAACAGAAGCGTCATATCAGTCGTGGCCAACTTATGGGATAAGTAAGGTGTGGTATGGAAACAACAAGCATTTTGGATTGGTAACCTACTGCTAGCTGTATAGCCGGTTAGTTTCTTTTTAATACATTTAATGCTGCCTGTTTTATATATATATGCATTTGCCTTGTGATGTAAAAACTAATATTTTAGGCCTGTCTTGAATTCTTTGTGACTGCTCTGACCTTCTTTTTAAAATGTGAATTGTCTCCTTGTTTGTTTTCTTGCAAGCAGGTTAGTAAGTCATGATAATGCACAACTGATCAACTATGGGCAATACAGAGTTAATATTGGCAGTGCTGAGATGGGTGGTTGCAATGCCTTGCATGTGGCAGAACATCATTGGTTAGCACTGCTGCTTCACAGTAAGAAGCACATGCATAGGGTCAGGTTCCCTGGTGATTCTAAGTTGGCCATATGTGTGGATGGACATCTGTTTCTCTGTATTTACACTGCAGTAGACTGTAAACCTGTCTAGGGTATTCACTGCCTTTCCCCCTGTGACATGGTATATGTCATATAAAAACATGGCAAATTTTTAAACTGAGTAAAAAAAAAAAAAAACTGCAATAACAAGCTTGAAAAGCAAGTCATACTAAAAAGAAATAGCTGGAAGAACACTGTGCAACTAATTAGGTAACCGGCAATAAGTCAGTAACATGACTGGATATGAAATGAGATTCTTAGAGAGGCAGAGTTTATCAGTAAAGACGAGCAAAAGCTCAACCACCGTAAAAACCTGTGTTACCAACTGTGTAACAATTTCATATTAATATTCCTTAATGTAAAATGTGTTGTGCATTCAGAAATGCTCTTCTACATACCTTAATGATGTCTTCCTATCAGAAGGTATCAGCAAAGCATTTTCAACCAAAGAACTGCCACTCAGTGGATGTTTTCTCTTTTTGGACCATTCTCTATAAACCCTACAGATTGTTTTGTGGACAAAATCAGTAATTTTAGAAATACTCAGACAGCGTGCCACATTCAAAGTCACTTAATTTCACCTTTCTTTCAAATTCTGATGCTCAGTTTGAAATTTCGCAGGTTGTCTTGATCATGTCTACATGCCTAAATGTACTGAATTGCTTCCATGTTGTTGAATGATTAGATATATATTTATCTGAACGGGTGGACCTAAAGAAGTGGCCAGTGAGTGTAGAAAGGATAATGCAGAGAGCGACCCAAAGCACAGTACAGAGCAGCAATTTTTGGTTATTTAAATTCATTCTTAACGACTGAGTCATATTTTCTTACACACAACAACCATAATATTATGCACACTTATAGTCATACACAGTTTTCAAATGTAGATAGGCTAATATAGTAATTTCTTTTGAGACTTTAAAATAAAATATTAACTACCGATTGCTTGTATTATACATTTAGAGGAGATGGAGGACCACGGACAAGCCTTGTGATTTTTTTTTTAAAATTATTATTAATAATAATATTTTTTTTAGGAAAACCAAATTATAAAATTTCCTGTTTTTCCATAGCAGCTTTATTCATTTTTCACTCTGACAAAGGGCTGGAAACTTGATCTGTCATGCTTAACGTAAAAGGAAATCTACACGCAGACTGTCTAATCGGTTTCCGAATCAATGACAGTGCTCAATATTCTGAACTACTCTAGCCAGTTTGGCGCTTCGTTGCCATTATAATCTTGAGTATTTGGCTTTACGACTGACGCTGTCGTGGTCTAAGGCGTCAGTGGCAGAATCTATTAAATATTTGACAACCTGCCTCTATGAGGTGCGCTCTGCTCTTCTATCGATTGTTTGTGTCTAGTCAAAGATGGCGCCGTAACAGCCCAGGTTTGTTTTTCATGGGTGCAAAGTATGTTTAAGTGCATTAACCGAACGGCCCAGTTTACGAGATATCTTCAGTCAGCAGGCTACGTTTTCTGTCTTAACCGACCTTTTAGGTGAGCTCTTTTAGGTAAGTGTTGTAACTGAAAAATAGGAGAGTTATTTTTACACCGAGCAGCGAGCTGGCTAAACACCAAACTAATCTTAGCGGCTCGAGCCGGTTTTTTGACCCAGCTAACCTCACTAGCTAAAGCGAAATGTTAGCTGATCCTATATTGTGTATTTGTGTCCTGCGCTTCCGTGATCGCTTACAATACACCTTTTAGCTTTGCGGAACCAAATGTTTGCCAGCGAGTTAGACAAGACATCCCGTTTCTCACATGGTTGCTTGGTAACTTTTCTGAAGCTTTTATCCCTTATTAAATAAGCTAGCGCGACTTTGCTTTCTGCGTAATGGATTAATTTGTGTCCTCTACTGAGTCACCTTAGCACACTGTAATCCCCGTTGTGCTCAGTACCAGAGAGATGTAATGTTTCCACACATCTACGTCGTGGCTGTCTTTTAATTGTCATTGCTGTTTAGCTTACTGTACGTAAGTAGCAATTACACCAAGGCAGTAATAATAGTTGGTTATCTAAACTGTGTTGCTGGTTTCGTTTAATTTTTTTGTTGTTCAAAAACAGTGTTCCCGAAAATCATTAAAGATTTCATGTAATATTTCAGTAAAACTGCAGTAAACGAGCCATGTGTTGCTTAACAGCTCTTACAGTGATGTGTGGAAACTACGTGAGTCACGGCACCTGTTAAAACACAACTCCCTTTAATCCTTATGGGTGTTTTTTTTTTTTTTTTTTCTCTTCTTCATATTCATTCAGACAGATAATTTCTATATACACAACTATCTAGAAACGCTCTACTTCTTTATGCTTCCAAGGACCCAGACTTTCTTTCATTTATTTATTTATTTATTTTTATTGGTCTTGAGCAGTAGTTCTCCAGGCTTTCTTACATTTTTCTGACACAAGTTTTTATTTGGACTCTGGCAGCTTTTTGAGTCGGTTTTAGCCCTTGTACATGATCATTTTCACAATAATGTTTTTGATGTTGGTTTTTAAATTTTGTTAAGACACTTAACACTAACCAGGTGATTCCCATAGAGCTATTAGCTGAAAATGTATGACATATGTTAACATCTTGTGCAGTGTAACCTGCAATTTGAGGAAATTGGTTAAAAGAAGTTTTAGGCCTGTCACTTTTATCTGCAACAGACGAACCATATCTTAAAGTCATGTCTTTAAGCAATAGAGGAAAAAGACATCCTGTCAATACTTGAAAGATGCATCTGGGACCTTCAGATGATCCATCTGCTCGTCGCTGCACTCTCATTAGAAACGTTCTCAGTGGAAGAATGGATGTCACCATGTTTCACTTCTTAAAGAATGCAAAATTACACAAGAACAAGACTTAAAACCAGTGGAAGAACAAAATATTCTTACACATTGATGAATCCAAATTTGAACATTTCAGTTCAAGTTGTCAGCAGTATATATGGAGGTGGTTGGGAGAGGTCCAACTGTGAGTTTCTACAGTCATCTGTGAAACATGTTGGAGGCTATGTCATGGTTTGGGACTGATGTTGGCAATCATGTAAAAACTGATGAATTATTACTAACCTATTTAACAAACTATGCAGTACTATCTGGAACATGTCTGATTGGTTCAGTTTTAGCATGACAGTGTGTTTAAGAATAAAGGTGGTCATACCAAATATAGACTTCTAAGCTCACTTGCATTTAAGGCATCTTTTGCCCTAAAATCTCCTTTGGCCATTATGACGTTAAATCAAAACATATTAAAATTTTAATTGTAAGTGTCCATTTGGTTTTCTTTGCTTGCAGACTGGTGTCATCCTTGTCAGTCAGAATGACCGACCCGGCTGTGAGGAGGGTGGTTAGTGATGTTATTCGCTCACCTGAGGATAAGCGGGAGTACAGGGGCCTGGAGTTTATCAATGGCCTGAAGGCAGTGCTCATCAGTGACCCGACCACAGACAAATCTTCAGCTGCTTTGGATGTCCACATAGGTAAATAGGTTTTAATTTTCTTTGTCCTGGCCAGGTGACCATGATTTTTTTCCGTGTTCTATCACACCATTTGGAAAAGCAGAGCAATTTTCCCACATCATAATATAACTGTGCCTTGCTGACCAATATACTTTCATGCATAGAGTTGCCTCATTAGTTGCCAGACGTCTTTTAAGCTTTGGATGGGTATTTCTGATATCTATTATCTAGTATTTATGTTTGCAAACTAGATATGACATTATGTACTTATCGGGTTTCTCTATTATAGCTTTTCACCAGCAAATAACATGTAACTGTTGGGACTCACAGCTTAAAGTTCTCACTGACTAAGCATTAGATAGTTGTTTTGAATGTCTGAGGAAGTTGTGAAATTCCTGTGACATTCTTTTTTATATGTTGAATAAAAATGATAAAGAATTTAGTCATGTACATCTCATTGTATATCTACCTGTTCTGGTGCCGTTACAGATCTGTTTTTCTCACCTGGCAAACATTAAAAGTCACAACTGTTGCATGGATGAAAGAGAAGCAGCACCATTAACTACATTTCTCTGGGAATTTCTCTTAATTTGCAGGTTCTCTGTCTGACCCACCAAACATCTCAGGGCTGGCACACTTTTGTGAACACATGCTGTTCCTGGGAACAGAGAAGTACCCCAAGGAGAACGAGTACAGCCAGTTCCTCAGTGAGCACGCAGGCAGCTCCAATGCCTTCACCA